TTGTAAAATTATTTTCTTTAATTCTCATAAAACTGCTATATAGTATTTTTTTGGTGGTTTTTTTTTTTTGTCTGAAGGAAATGGGACTCTGAGATTATACTTAATGTCCTCAGTGATACCTAGTAGAATGGCAGAGCCAAGATGTATCATACTGTCTTTCTGCTGGCCTCAGTCATGCTGACCTCTTATACTTGGGCTCACACTTTTTAATGGGGCCACAAATGTGCCTCTGATCAGCACCGTGTAAGAAATTAGCTCAGGTAAACAAGTAGAAGGTTAGAAGTGTTTCTAGTGTTAAATACTTTGGTTTTTTTATTTGTCCAGTAGATTTTGCCAGATAATTTTGCTGCCTATTAGCTTCTTTGTTGTTCTCTTCTTTATGAGAGTTTAGATACTGTCAATTATGTGATTGTGTAGATCAGTGAGCTTTTCATCCATGACATTTGTGTTCTGCCCAGCAGTTGGGGAAGTGTTTGACATTGTTGTAAAAGAGGAATGTTTGGGAGATATGGGTAGATAATGATAGGGTGATCAGTAGGATTGTAGGGATAAGGGATTTGGCCATGTGTATTTTCACATATACTAACACACATTTAGACAAACTTCTAAGAGCAAATACTTTAACCTTTGTGGTCTAGATTGACTTTTCATCAGAAAATTTCCATGTAGTTAGAAGCTATATCCCTTATGCCTTTCTGTGAGGTACAGCTGACTTTATGAAAAAGATGGGGAACAGAAATAAAGGCAGCCAAATCTCAGGAGGGCATCCTGTTGCAGTGTCACCTTTCTGCCTGTGCCATGGGAGAAATGGCTTATCCACACTTTACTTGTGGCTGCTGCAGTAGACACACTGCCTTACACTCAGGTGTGAGTGAGGAGATGCCAGCATGTCATGGCTCTGGAATTTTGTTCCTTCCCAAACTTGTTGTTCTGTATTTATGGTATTGTGTTTTATTTACTTTAATAGATGAGTTAGATAATTGTCTATAACTCTTTAATTGAAATAATTTTACAGTGTTAAAGCCTAAAGAACTAAAAGAAGAAAATTTAAATCATATAGTATATGATGATTATTTTGAAATAAATGTTAAAGTAAGAATTGTTAATTTATTGGAAAGTAGAATGTAAATGTTGCTACTGTATTACTCTTTTGACATAAAACTATTTTAAATGATGCTATTTCAAGCAGTTACAAATAATTGCAAATCAATCAACCAATCATATTTTTTAAACTTAAAAAAAAATCATTTAATGTTCCTTCAGATGGTCAGGCTCTCAGCAGAGGAATAGGCTCAATGAGTACATTTCTAAGCTGGGTCCTGCCCTGGCCCAGAAGAATCAGCCTCCCTGGTTGTTTTTTTCTTGCATGTCCACTATGATTTCTTATTGAACATCTCCCCAACTGATCTCTTTAAAATCAGCTCATTCCCTCCCATCAATCACTGGACTTTTCTTTGACCCTTCTCTGTCAGACTCCACTTCCAGTGCATATGGAATTATGGTTAGCTTTAGTTACAAACACAGCTTGCACCTCTGTCTAGTTCTCTTCTCCATTGCCATATTTTCTTGGCTTTATTACAAGTGACAGTTAAGTGACCTATCTCTTTCTGTCTATGCTAGAGGAGTCCTACTCAAATGTAAGTTGGGGGCCTGGGATTTAGGTCAGTGGTTCCACCACCTGCCTAGCAAGCGCAAGGTCCCGAGTTCGATCCCTGGTCCCCCCCCCCCCCCCGCCCCGAAAACCAAATGTAAGTTGGAAGAGTCACTTCTTGGTTCAGATGCCCATGATGGTTTTTTTTGTCAGAATAAAAGCCATGGCTGCTATGGCTAATGGGAGTATGACCCTTACCTATAGGCCAGCTCTCACTCTCTCTCTTCTCTTTCTGTCTCTCCTGTCCCTCTCTCTCCTCTCTCTCTGTCTTGTCTCTCCCTTCTTCCCTCTGTAATCTCCCATTTCCCCTCTCCCCTCTCTCCCCTCTTTGAATTACTTTTCCTCCTTACACTGCTATATCTCCATGCTTCCACACTACAATGATGTGGTCCACTTGCCCCACCTGCAGGTGTCTGTGTTGCCCTTCCTCCTGCTGGGATCCCTGTTCTTCATTTCTTTCCATGCCTAGCACCTTTCCCCTCATTGACACAAGTCCCATTCTTGCGCCTTTACAGTAAAATTCCAACTGCCTACTGACATTTTAAAGGCTCCTTCTCTATTTCATTTTTTTCTCCTACTACTTAACGCTATTTAACATTTTTATATTTTCCTTTTTTCCCCCTTGTTCCCTGTGTCCCTTTGTGGTTTTTATATTACCTGAGGGTAAGGTCTCTTGCTTGTTCACTTGTTTACCAGAGCTGCCTAGAACTGTTCATTGGATAATATCAAATTCTTAGTTTGTGACTTGTATGGGTACATGAATGATTTGCAGAGTCTATGAAGTTGGAGTGTTGCAGGTATAGTTGATCATTGTAGCATGAAAGCTCCAAGAACACATGCTTTGACGATCTTATTGTCCATTTAGGTGCAGAATTCACCATGGCTATCACACAGTAAGTGATCAACCAATATGTCGAGACAGAATGAAAATATAAAGGAATGAGTGTTTCATAGGAGCAAGACATTTAAGTTTTGTTTTTGTTTTTTTTTGAGACAAGGTCTCTCTATGTAGTTCTGGCTGGTCTTGAACTCACTATGTAGCCCAGACTGGCCTGGAACTCACAGTGATCCTCCTGCCTCAGGCTCCCAAGTGCTGAGATTACAGGCATGCACCACCACGCCCAGCTGATATTTCCGTTTTGGAATGCTTTTTACTTCAGGGGTTATTTTGTTTGATTTCTGATTTGATTATAAAATTTAAAAATATATGTGTAAAACTTTAATTTTCAAGGGCACTGAAAGATAGGATATGTTCATTAATCACAAATTGCTGGCAATATTTTGTTCATATAGGATTTTAATTTTATGTTAGTCATGCTTGGTTTTGATTTGACAAAGGATGACATTGAGACTTATACACTACCTGTTCTCTTGACACCAAATATAAAGAATTAGTACTTAAGTCAAATTGTAGATGAATATTTTGTATTTGAACAAAATTGAGATATTTTCATATTATAAATGTTCCCTATTTTCCCATAATAAAAGCAAATGTTGTTTCTCTAAATATTTAGCATTAGCAATATTCAGCAAATGTTGGAATGGTATTTTACGCCTGCCCCCATTTAATTTGTTTTTCTGTGCTACATAATATTTTTGGTTGAATTTTAAAATCTTATATATCTTAATAAAATATTTTTCTATTAAAAACTGCAGTGTGGTTTCTGAGTTAAGATGTCTTAAATTATACTTGGTCATGTAAATAAGCTGTGCTTTGCAACTTTGAGTTTTTAACCTTTGCTCTTTGCTATTAGCTTTATGTTTTTTTAATTATAGTAAAATGGAGGACAGTAGGGAAGTTGTGACTTAAATGGACTGTTATTATGACTGTATATTCTTTTTTACAGGAATGAAAAATGTTATTTATTTTGTCCAAATCAAGCAGAAACAAATACAGAATAGCTTGTGTACTATTACGTTTTGTTCAGTGTTTAATATTATCACAGTTTGTTTCTTCACATGTAATAATTATCTTTCCATTTTAATGATTGATGATGTGACCAGTTATTTATAGTCATAGAGTGTGTATTGTTATTGCCTAATAAATAAAAAGGAATTAATACTGTTATCATTGTATGCAACTATATTGTTTGAATGATGAAGTAATAGTCATTTAAAATGGTTGTATATTATTTTTGCCTTAAAGTCAAGATTTCCTAATATGTTGGGAAAATAAGCAAAATAGACTAGATATGAAAAGAAGAGAAGCAGTCACAATTTTAGAAATTATTTTGTTCTTGGGTTTTGTCTCAGGTCTCTTCTGTGACCACAGTACTTATGTTACCCATTTGTGCAAACATGTCCAGATGAATTCATTGTTTAATGTTAAGAATCTTATAACATGCCAATTTGATTTGTAGCCCTTCATATCAAAGAATGATAATTAAAATCATATTTTTGCATATGTCATGCCTTTCATGTATATATGCAAATAGATTCTGTTGCCTTTCAGCTAGTAGTAATTAACTTTATGAAGGACAGCTGTAATACATAATTAACAAAAATGTTTGCAAGCCCTTTTACACTGAAAGTTACAACAGTAAATTTTTTTCCCCACTTATCAAGAGAGCTATTTTAGTCTGATGTTTCTGAATGAGATCTAAATTGTTTTAAATAATCACATGATGTAATTAAATTGATGTACCGTGTTTAGTGGAAGAATGGTACACAACGTACTGGTTGCTGATTTCTGTCCATTTCATATTTATGTCAGCAGTATTGAATTAAAGTAAGCTGATTTGTGTGTAAAATAAGATAGTATGTCAGGTAATACTTTTTGTTTGTTTTAGTTATTGATATTCCTTGGCACTAAAGCAGAGGGTTTTCTTTTTTTTGAACTACAGATACAGTAAACATTTATATCATTTTTAAAAACCTGTCTTCAAATCATTATTCTGTTTTTAAGGAAGCTTCATGAAAGCTATTCATTTATTCTTTTATAGTTCTTTAAATATTTAATAAAATGACATTTTCTCAAACTCATTTCATGATTGAAATATGAGATGGGCGAGTGGCCAGTGCATGTTATATTGAAGTACTGCTTTATCTTTTATACCACCTGACAGTGGAAGCAGGGACTAAAGAGCTGCAGTCATTGTTGTGATCTTCTGGTCACTGTCAGTATACCCAAGTAAAATATGAGTCAGTTAGTTTAGATATAGTAATTTATTTTGCTTTCCAAAAATTATATTTAATCCATACTCAAGTTTTTAAAGAAGAGTGCCATTGTAATATATATTTTATGGTTTCTTTGTAAATAAATATACAAGTATTTTCCTTAAATATATTGTGTACCAATTTCTACTAAAGTTTAATTTTAGTTCGGTAATTACTTTTATTTATTTTTTAGGGTTGCTTTTGTAATGAAGAAGCACTTAAATACTCATCTACTAGGCAAACATGGAGTTGGCACACCAAAAGAAAGGTAATTTCCATCTGTATATACGTATATGTTTTACTTAACAAATAAAGTCACATTTTCATTTTAGGCTTTGTTTAATAGGTCCCTTTTAGAATTTTTATGAAGTCAGTTCATTTTATTTTGCTTTTGGTGGTACTTTTGTTGCTGAATATCATATTTGATGTCATTTTCTAAGAAAATGGTAATGGCACATATTAATTTTAAAATTAGAGTAAAAAAGATTTGAGGGCTTTGAAAAAAATCTTGAAATAGGAGAAGAGTCAAATTGGAAAAATTGACCTCTGTAAATGCATTAGTACATGCTAAAACAGATATGTAAAACCAGCCCTTGTCTATTTTTTCTGTATTTTTATTTTGAAGTTTTAAAGTAACATTTTAAAATTCTTACTGTAGATTCAAACATTTCTGATGTTAAAAAAGAAATATATCTTGTGTCTTTCTGCAAATAATACTACAGTTGCCATGTCATGAAAAATAACACTACAATTATTATGTCATCAACTGCCAGGTTTTCTTTTTCTTGCTGCTGTATCATAATTAGCTTCATCACATAGACTTAATTATATTAAGTGAACTGAAATATAACAATGTCAGCTACCAGGTGAGCATGGCTACTTTTGAAAATTTTAAGTCTTTGTAATGTAGAGGTTATTCAGAACTAGCGTGAGCACTGTTACCTTTGTTAAAGACCGGGTAGAACTTCAGCTTCCCTCAGGTCCTCCTCCAGATAACATCATAATTCTACAGACACTTTTGGAGTCTTTGATTTTTTAAAAATACAGCATTAAAATGTTAGTAATGATGCAAATTCTACCACTCTGAAGTGTGAGGCATTTTCAGCTGTATTTGTAAATGTTTGATAGCTGTGTTAAAATATTTAAAATGCTCTTACTGTATTTTGATTGTTCATGAGGGACTTAACTTGAGTGTTCTACTGAAGAAGTATTGGTTTTATTAGCATTATAATATGGACATAGACTTTACACTGTGTCAAAACGTTGGACTAGATATGTCTCCTTCGGGTTTCCCACACTTTTTTTTGTATCATCCAATTTAATAATTATAACTAGAATGAATCCATTGCATATATCATGGATGAATTGTGAATGAATTGAATCTTGAAATTGTAGAAGAAAATCCTGTATTTTTAAAGAATAATTTGGGACTTGTCAATGGTATGTTTCATATGTGTTTAAGTGGAAACAAAGTGTAGTTTTACTTAATATGTTTCTATTTCATTCACATGCAAATCTCAGGTAACCATTTATGACCTTATTAAGTAACGCATTATTATTCCTATTTTATGGATCTAAGGAGTAAGAACCATAAAGGTACAATAACAATTTATTGATTATCTCATAAATAGTAAATATTGTTACCATTGGAACTGGCAACATTATTGGTGTTTTCTGACTAGTTGCAGGATAAATTTGAATAAAAACATCTGGATTAGTAATAAGAAGAAAACATTTCTCTATCTTGAAATAGTGTATATTTTGACCCAAAGTATATCATTTTGCTTTTTATTTAAAAATTAAATATATAGTGGACCCTTGATTTACGAACTCAGTTTGTTCACGAGGGCTGGTTGTAACTCAGGTTAATCAATTGAAGGCTCAGACTCCTCTACACAGCCTTCAAAGTCTCTTACCTACATTCAGACAGATCTCAGTTTCCATAGAGAGACATTGGCCCAGCAGTTTTCAATTAACCCCACACAGAAAAAGATGTAATGTTCCTTCCAAAACTCTTTAAGGGTTAAATCTGTATCTGAGACCACCTGGAAGCTGTAGCAGACAGCATTTGGGTCATAATTCAAGACTTTGGTCATAAGTTAAATCTAAAATTCTGGTCATAACCCCCAAGTTGTTCATATGTCAGGCAAGTCATAACTCGAGGGTTCACTGTATTTGATGATTCTACATATTGTTTCATGTCAAGATTAAAATCTCATTCATCTCCATATTTCATCTCTGTATCTATGTCTGTCTAGCTATATCTATAGATGCTTTCTGTGTCTATATATCTATATGTGCATACTTATACACATGCATATATAATACATCAACAACACACATACCTTTTTAAAATAGTAGATATTCCCTTATGTTATGACGTGAGTTTGAAAATCACACAAATTTTTTCATTTACCTTTTTCTTGGCACCCAAATCATTTTGCTTTTCTTTTACCCATTTCACTTAGAAGTGTATAAAAGGAGTTGATAAAAAAGCTAGAAAATTTGTTAACTTTCCACTACTTTGACACAATACCTGAAATTATCACCTTAAAAGTAAGAAAAAATTTATTTTGACTCATGGTTTCAGAAATTTCAGCCCATGGTTGTTTATCTCCACTGCTTTGGGGCTATGGCGGCACAGTACTTCATGGCTGTGATGGAGGAGGGCTGTTCACCTCACAGCATCTTTGAAGCCAAGAGAAAGCCAGTGAGGGGCCAGAGTCCTAGTATTCCCTCCAAGAGTGCATTCCCAATGACCCATCTTCCTCCCATTGGATCCACATCTTAAAGTTTCTGCCATCCTTCAAATAGTGGCTTAGGCTGGTAACCACACTAACATTGCAGATGCCTATGGCAGAAGAATTGAATGGCTTTTTCCTCTATCAGGTAATGCAAGCTTTACTCTGACACCATCACTATTTTTATCCTAAAATCAGGAATTAAATCTCTGATTGGAAATCACATCCATCTTCTGAATCATTACCTTTTAACTATTCTAAGTGGCCATGTTCATCTAAATCAAATATCTTTATTTTTTGTACTAAAAATTCTTTGTTTCAGAAGAATTTGTACAGTCTATTTATTTGGCACTCTTATTACACAGAAATACTGAATCAGAATTCCAGGTCTTCAGCTGCAACATAATCTTCTATTATACATCTGTAGCTAGAGAGGCCACAATTTAAGTGCTATAAACTAGAAGAAGAAATGCCCAAAGTCTCCTCCTTCCTTCCTTTTAATGGTTCTAGGAAGCAAGGAAACTATCAGCATGCTGAATCCTCAGTTTGGGTATAACTGTTACCTGAATTAAGTTAAACATATTCCTACCTATTTGAAACATTAATGCCTTGGCTATAATTTTGCAAGCTTGCTGTACTTTAATTTCTCCAGGACAATATAATCAGTTTATTTTTTATGTTTTGAATTTGATTCTCTCCTCTAATGCATTGCATAGTATAGCAAATAGTAATAGAATTTAGCTAAATAGGTTGTGGCAATTAAGTTAATAATGCATTTTGTTTGCAGCTATTTAGGCCTTGTGCTTTGACTGATATATGCAAAAATTATAATTTATTAAAACTAAATTCATATACTTGTACTGTAAAGCTTGATGAACCAGTAAATTTTGCCAGCATGACTAGCAACAGAAACAGAAAACTAAATATTTTCAAATATTTTTGAGGTTCCTTGAACTTTTAAAGTGATTGCATTTATAAAAAAATGTTGTTTTTTTGTTCCTAAATTTGCATTATCATTGTAAAGAAGTATACGATAGTATTTTTGAGGGCTTTTACACTTAAATATAAAAAAAATATGCCCACATTCAATTCACATTCCAAAATGATAAATGCCAATTAATTTGCAAGTTCACTTTAAAGTATTCCTTAGATGAGTAATACTCTCCTTAAGTGAACCAAAGTATCTTTATCACGCTTTGAATTTACTCAGTAACCTACAAAAAGGAGCTTATCCTCAATTATCACAATTGGAGCAGGGATAGCAAATGTATCTTCTGTGAATGCCAGGTGCATGCGATACCGGAAATGGGTGACATATATGGTTTATTGCCTGGCTAATTGCCTGGATTCATCTGGGCTTTGGATAACTGTCAACAGGAGGAGGGAAATGGCTTTCTCAGAATGTTCCCTTTGATACAATGCTTTCTGATGTGTGTGTACATGGGGAGGGAATGCCATCAGGAAATATCTGTGTCAGTAGCACCTTAGGAAGACTGGTTCAGTCATGGAACTACTGTATCAATAGAGGACTTTATATTAAATAATGCATCATAAAGTGTGAACATTAAATAATTTCACAACCAAAGGAAATATACTTGTGCCTTTACTAGTAACATTCATATCAAATTTAGGTATTTTTTCAGTGAATCAATGTTTGGAGGCATCTTTTTATGTGATTGCCCCAGCTAGAGCCTTATTCTCAGCACAGCTGACACCAAGAGGAGGAAATCTGAGCCCTGAAATTTGTGCTGGCTTCTCATTTTTTCTCAGACACTTAAAATGTGGGGTCAGCTGTTGTCAATACCCCACTGTCACATATAGACAGATCAACTAGAGAAAAAAAGTCAACAAAGAAATATATCAGAAATGAACCAAACTTTTGAAAAATGGACTTAGTAGATGTCTACAGAGTGTTCTAGTCCTCATTAGAATACACATTCTTCTCAGCTGAACAGGGGACATTCTCCAAAATAGACCATATATTAGCTCAGAGAATATGCTTAAGTAAATGCAAAGGAACTGAAATTATCCTATGCATATTATCAGACCATAGTGCAATGAAATTGGAAATCGGTGGCAAAAAAAGCCACAAAAACTTCATAAACACATGGAAATTAAACAACATCCTCCTGAACAATGAGTCACAAATGAAATTAAAGAAGAAATTGCACAGTTTCTACAAGTAAATGATAATACCAATAAAATATATTAGAACATATGGGATGCAATGAAAGCAGTCCTATGAAGGAAACTTATAGTGGTGAGTTTCCATATCAGAAAAACAGAGTAAGCTGTAGTACACAACCTAATTTTGAACCTCAGTCTTCTAGAAAAAGAAGAACAAGTCAAGCCCAAAGCTCATACAAGGGAGGAAATTATAAAGATCAGAGCAGAAATTAATGCAATCAAGACTAAGAAAACAATACAAAGAATCAATGAATCAAAGAGTTGGTTCTTTTTAAAAAAAATATTAATTTTATTGGTACATTTTAGGTATACAATATAATGACATTCATCTATTCATCTA